TGCAAACTCAGAACTTCGCGAATGCGTCCCTTTCCTCGCGAACGCGTTGATTAGAAGGCTGGGGGTCCCAAGCTATCTCACTCCTTTTCGCGAACGTGACACCACTCATGCGTACGCTGACATACCTTCGCGTTCGCATTCGTGTCCTTACCCTCGCGAACGCGTAGAACAAAATCTCACCCACTCAGAAAACACTCTTCGCGAACACGAGGCGCTTCTCGCGAATTTGTAAGAGGAAACCAGAAAAATGCAGTAGCAGATATCAACAATCTCACCAAGGCCAAAAATGATCCGCTAACCACCCAAAACTCACCTGAGGCCCTCGAGAACTCAACCAAACATACTAACACGTCCCATAACATCATACGAACTTAGTCGAATCCTCATACCACCTCGGACAACGTCAAAAAACACGACTTACACACGGATTCAAGCCTAATGAACTTTGAAATTTCTGAATTCTACAAACGACGTCAAAACCTATCAAATCAAGTCCGATTTACCTCAAATTTCGCACACAAGTCATAAATGACACCAAGGACCTAGTCCAACTTCCGAAAATCCAATCCGACCCTGATATCAAAAAGTCCACTCCCGGTCAAACTTTCCAAAATTCCAACTTTCGGTAATTCTAGCCTAGTTCTACTACGGACCTCCAAAACACAATCCGGGCGCGCTCCTAAGTCCAAAATCACCTAAAGGAGATAACGGAAGCATCAAAATTCACATCCGAGGTCGTTTACACATAAGTCAACATCCGGTCTACTTTTTAATTTAAGCTTTCAAATAAGAGACTAAGTATCTTAATTCACTCCAAAACCACTCCGGACCTGAACCAACTAACTCGATAAGTCAAAATACAACTGTAGAAACCAAAAGAAGCAGGAAATGGGGGAACGAGGCTATGAAAAAGACCGACCGGGTTGTTACATCAGCACTTGTTCAAACAAAATGATCTAAATTTGAGGCAACAGACATAGTTGGAGGTGCTTAAAGACTATGATATTACTATTCTATATCATTTTAGGAAGGGCAATATGGTGGCCGATGCCTTGAGTAGAAAGGTAGTGAGTATGGGTAGCCTTGATTTTATTTTTGTTGGTGAGAGACCGCTTGCAACAAATGTTCAGGCCTAAGCCAATCAGTTCGTCAGATTAGATATTTCGGAGCCTAGTCGGGTTCTAGCTTGTGTGATTTCTCGTTCTTCCTTATATAATTGCATCAGAGATCGCCAGTATGATGATCCCTATTTGCTTGTCCTTAAGGACATAGTTCAGCACGGCGATGCCAAATATGTTACTATTGGAAATGATGGGGTGTTGAGGATGCAGGGTCGGATTTATGTGCCAAATGTAGATGGACTGCATGAGTTGATTCTTGGGGAGGCCCACAGTTCGCGGTATCCCATTCATCCGGGTGCCGCAAAGATGTACCAGGACTTGAGGTAATACTATTGGTGAAGAAGAATGAAGAAAGATATAGTGGGGTTCGTAGTTTGGTGTCTACCAAGCGAAGAAGAATGACCGAGCGGATTACTTCAGAGGCTTGAGATTCCGGAGTGGAAATGGGAGCGTATCACCATGGACTTTGTGGTTGGGCTCCCACGAACTTCGAGGAAGTTTGATGCAATTTGGGTAATTGTGGATTGGTTGACCTAGTCCACGCATTTTATTCTAGTTGGTACTACTTATTCTTCGGAGCGGTTGGTGGAGATCTATATCCGGGAGATTGTTCTCCTTCACGATGTGCTAGTTTCCATCATTTCAGATCAGGGAATGCAGTTTACATCGTGGTTTTGGAGAGCAGTGTAGTGAGAGTTAAGCACACGGGTGGATTTGAGTACAAGATTTCATCCTCAGATGGACGGTCGGTCCGAATGCACTATTTAGATATTTGAAGATATGTTACATGCTTGTGTTATAGATTTTGAGGGTTCTTGGGATTAGTTTCTACCACTTGCGTAATTTGCCTACAACAACAATTACCAATCGAGCATTCAGATGGCTCCTTATGAGGTTTTGTATGGGAGACGGTGTCAGTATCCGGTGGGTTGGTTCAAGTCGGGTGAGGCTAGGCTATTGGGTACTGATTTGGTTCAGGATGCTTTAGAAAAGGTTAAATTAATTCAGGATCAACTTCGCACGGCGCAATCTAGACAGAAGAGTCATGCCGGACGGATGGTTCGTGATGTTGCTTACATGGTGGGAGAGAAGGTACTACTCTTAGTTTCACCTATGAAGGGTGTTAAGAGGTTCGGGAAGAAGGGCAAGTTGAGCCCTCGGTATATTAGACCTTTTGAGGTACTTGAGAGAGTTGGAGAAGTGGCTTACAGGCTTGCATCTCCGCCTAGTCTATCGGGTGTTCATCCAGTGTTTCATGTATCCATGCTCCGGAAGTATGTCGGAGATCCGTCTCATGTTTTGGATTTCAATATAGTTCAGTTGGAAGGTGATTTGACTTATGATGTAGAATTAATTGACCCGATGATGAATTAGGTAAATAATTCCGGAAGGTTCCAATAGCTCTGTATGGTGATTTTGGACTTAGGAGTGTGTCCGGATATTTATTTGGAAGTCCGTAGTCGAATATGGATTGAAACGACGAAAGTTAGAAAATTAGAAGTTTTAGAAATTGAGAAGTTTGACCGAGAGTTGACTTTGTGGTTATCGGGCTTGGATTTTGGTTTCGGAAAATTTTAATAGGCATATTATGTCATTTATGACTTTTTTTGCAAAATTTGAGGTTAATCGAAATTGATTTGATAGGTTTCGGCATCGATCGTAGAAGTTAAATTTCTTAGTTTTCGTAGGCTTGAATTGGGGTGTGATTCGTGGTTTTAGTGCTGTTTGATGTGATTTGACACCTCGACTAAATTAGTATGATGTTTCAGTACTTGTTGGTATATTTGGTTGAGGTCCCGGGGGCCTCTGGTGGATTCCGGATGGTTAACGAATCAAAATATGGATTTGAAGAAATTCTGGAAATTTTCCAGTTCTGGTGCGATCGCACCTGCGATGGAAATGGTTGCAGGTGCGCGCCCGTAGAAACGATAATGTGGTCCCAGGAGCGGGCTGGAGCAGAGTGAGCAGTGGTTGAAGGTGCAAGGGAATTTTTGCACCTGCGAGTCCGCGGATGCGGAGGAAGCAGCGCAAAAGCGGAAAGGGACCTGGTGGGCTGGTCCGTAGAAGCGGGCACCTTCTCGCAGAAGCGAGTCCGCAACATGGCTTGCAGAAACGGAAGCAGTGGACTTCAAGGGCACTGCAGAAGTGGAGGAAATGTCTGCACCTGCGAAACCGCAGATGCGTCTATGTGAGTCGCATGTGCGAAGACCCCTGGACAGAATACATTCGAAGGGTTGCGGGATTTTGGCATTTTTGGACGATATAAGCTCAGATTGGGGCGATTTCTGAGCGAGATTTCATGGGACTTCTTGAAGTAAGTCACTTGTGATCATTTTTATTTGATAATATTGAATTATCATAGAATGATCCGACTAGTTTACGTGATTTTGAGGTGTAAATTGAGAATTTGGGCCTAGAGATTTGAAAATAAAAATTTAGAATTTGGAGGTCAAGGTAATGTCGGAATTTGGTAAATTTGGTATGGCTGGACTTGTGGTTGAATGGGCATTCGTATTTTGTAACTTGTGTCGGGTTCCGAGACGTGGGCACCACGTTGACTTTTGAGTCGACTTTTCCGATTTTAATTGTAAAATTTAGAATTTTCATATGGGATTGATTCCTATAATTCGAGTTAAGTGTATTAAATTGTTTGTGACTAGATTCGAGGCGTTTGGAGGCCGAATCGCGAGGAAAAGGCTTATTGGAATAAAGAAGTTGCACGGTTTGTGCGAAGTAACACTTCTAAACTTGGTTTTGAGGGTATAAATCCCTAAATTACGTGTTATATGATTGGTATGGAGGTGACGCACACGCTAGGTGATGGGCTTTTGGGCGTGCACCGTATAAATAGTGACTTAATTGATTCTGTGGAGTTATGAAGTCAAATAATCTTGTCATTATCCATATTTTCTCCACATGTTATAGAGACTGAGCAGAGACTCTTGCTAAAATCATGCTGAGGCTATATGCCAATATTATTGAGACCCAAAGAGATCGTGTTGTTGTTAAATTATTTGCTTAAATTATAATTTTGTACTCAGTCACATCCATTATTTGCATATCATATCTCAGTCTCTGTTACTTTTATTGATGTGTCATATATCATTGTTTGGGCTAGGTGACATGAGATTTGCGAGTCCAAGAGACAGGAGAGATTGATGACTGAGTTGGGGCCGTAATATATATATATATATATATATATATATATATATGGGGAGTGGGGAGGCAGGGTATAAATACATTAATATATATATAAATTTAAGATATTACTATTATTTTACACAAAAAGTAAAGAAGTGAATAAAAAAAAGTGCTTCAAAAAGTATGCCAATTCTTTTCTATATTAAAGATTATCTTAATACAAGTAATAAGAAAGCAATTTTGACACAAAACGTTAAGCTTGACACAAAGAACGAAAAAAGCAATTATGACAACCGAAAAACAATTCTTTTTAAAACTATCACTAACTATCATGTTTGCTAGTTGATCCAAGCCACCTATGAAGCTATGTAGATAATGTACCGATAAAATATTAAGCTTTAGGCGTAAGGAGCAAAGCTGATAATTTGTAATTTGGGAGCAGACGCGGGTAATTAATTTTTGCACATAGGGCATTTATGTCCTTAGTCTCATAATATATCCATGGATTGGCATCGCAAAGGCGGATGTATATAGATGCGACTTAGGTAACAAATATTTAACTATATAATAAGTGAAGGTTCCCATGGACGACGAAGGGTAAAAATGTAATTACAACACAAAATCTAGCATTGGTGGCTCGTACTTTGTCCCTTCAAAAGTAATTCATTATCATGTCATGACCAAAAACCCTTACCACTCCTTTATTAAACGACCCCCGATTTTGCATTTATTACTTTGGCTATCGATTTGTATTCCAGTAAATTGAGCGCAATCTGAGCCCTTTCTGATAAATTCACCTTCTTTCATTTAGGAGATTCTAAATCCACTGAACATAGCTTTTCAATTCTCTCGACTCTTCCACTCCCCCTCTCTACCTCTCCGACTCCATAGTTCCAATAACTATCAATTTTGACTCATAGATAAACATTTTCAGCAATGAATCCCAGACGGTTAGTCAATTGATTACACTGTGTAGCTATTTCCAAAGCTGTTATTCTCTCACGCATCCTCAATTATTCTGTAGATGCATGTCTATCTCTTTTTCACCTATGTGTTTGCTAGGTTTTTGAATTTAGAAAGGGCAATTTTCCTCAGAAAGTTAATTTATTCATCGAGTTCATCTGCCGAAAATCGATGTTTTGATTTTTCCGTTTCCTATTTTTAGGTTTTTTTTCTTCCTAGCTTTGTATGCATATGGATTTTCTTAAACTTGCTAATTGTTGCTGGTAATTTTGTTCTTTCTCTCCATATATAACTAATGCTTTATGGATTTTCTTTGCATAGATCACTTCTTTTGTGAAGCAGATGATGAGAGATCATGGGATCCATTCTTCGTCGTCTCAGTTGTTGGTCCTTATTGTTCATTTGTTGCCGTTATTGTTTATCCAGTAAGTATATTCAGTGAAATTTTTTGGCTACTTAATCTGGTTTCTTCTATAAATAGTTTGTCCATTATATTTTATTCGATATTTCGTGTTAAAATGATATAGTATTTGAATTTCTGCAATTTATATGTTACAGTTATCTCCAATGACGATTATTCTTTAATTTCTGATGGGTCGTTAGAACTTATAGCAGCTATATTCTTCCGAATCTATGGGCAAAGAATACAAAATCTTTATCTCAATGAACACACATAAAAGGTAAGGAAATTGGAGGAAAGTAAAGTTGAAATTAAGATGAAGTACAGTTGTTCTGTGTAAAAGGCATTTTTGTTAGAGGCTATAGGTCTTTACTATAAAAGAAAAATGGGACTATTTTTTAGAAGTTCTAAGAGTGGTACATGAAGCTGGAAGAAATGAACCCATAAACATAGGGTTTTCCTTCTCATATGTTTATAGTGATAATATAAAACTGAAAGTGCAGCAAGTTACTTTAATTACCCAAATGTTTAAACCAAGGTTTGCTGCTACCAACATACAGAAACAGGGATTATTTAAACAAGGATAAACATGACAGTGGTGAGCTTCTATTACTTCCGTCCAACTACATTGATGAAAATTGTGTGAAGGAACATCATTTATATTGGCTTGATAATTTTTCTGTTGAGGACCTCACCTATCTTTCTTGTGCTTCCACCATTATATATGCTAGCACTATTAGAAAACTACATTCATATTTCCTAAATAAATCTCAACTGAATTATATATCACCTAAGAACTTTCGCATGCATTTGAAGGAAAAGTGATATTAAGGCGTAATTGTACTCTTCCCAATGGAGTAGTTGAGGCGCTTTAGATACTCATGTACTTTTTTGGTTGATTTTAGCAAGTTTATCCCTTCGTGTCAGAGCTGTTTATGTTTGTGCGACTGCTAGGCCTTTGAGAAGCTCTGATAAAAAAAACATATTTGATTTCTCTATTAGGAGGTTAAATCAGAAGGAGTTGCTGAAAGATGTGCAAATACATGTCTAATTCTTTAAGTAGATTCAATATTTGTGATGGCGCTACCAGGTGCTTCTCCCTGTTAATTCGATTACACTTTGTTGCTGCATTGGTGCAAAGATGACAAGTATAAATGGTCAAGTTTGGTGCCTGAGAATATCTTGTGAAAGAGGTAATTCCAATCCATTGTTTATACTTTATTTTTCAAATGTGAGTTTCTACTTAATCCTAAAACTAAATACTTCCGGTGAATGATGATAATGCTCATCTTGATTGGTTATGATGTCAATACGTCATGTGTTTCAATTCTACCCTTCACTCTCTTTATTGATTAATTATTTGGTAACGTAAAAGATTTTGAGTAGTAGTATAAAATTGAAGCCATATTCTTAATAAATTCAAAATCTTTAAATCATTAAATATAAGTGTTGAATTCACTTATATGCATGAATTAAGAATTCTTTTCGAGTATGATGCTAGTCTTGGTCAGTCATTGTGCTCACCTAGCTCGACCTCGAGGCCCCAAATAACCTGGCTTGAGGCCCCGATTCCCAGCCACTCGATTTGCTTAAAATACTGCCTTCAAGTTCATATCTTATTTTCTAGTCTCACACTTAGTACCTACTGCCTAACAGCTGGCATAAAAATAAATCACGTATTTTTAGGACCACAAAATCAAATCTAATTGTAGTTACAATTTTCAAGCTAAACAGGAACTTAGCCGTACTGTTCAGACTAATTCATGCCATGCCAAGTCGTTGTGCTCGTCTTGAACTTGGCATTACTGTTTAGGCTAATTCATGCCATGCCAATGTCATTGAGAGTACCCCACTTGTTTGGGTTGAGACATCATTGTTTTAATTGTAGTATATGCTAGGTTTTGTTGGAGTGTATCTCAAAACTCTCCACATTACATTCAATTCCTAAGATATTTGTGAGCTGGACTTCACCAATTATTTTGAGCAAGTATTTATAGTTGAAGTTGTTGTCCCTACAAAGATACTACACCTACTTAATTCTGCTGAGGAAGCTCTAGCTTTTAATATTTGGCCCACTCTTCAACAATCAACAGTGATATTTAAATTGAATACTGAATGTCTGCATTCAATATGAAGTCGTATATCTCTGTAACTTAAGCCATTCTGACGTACTGGTGGTGTATTTCAATAAGTAGCAGCTTTCAGTTTTGAGAAATTTTTGTGGCCGACTAACTTCTTAATTACGTACTTCAATGTGGTGGGATTAATATACTACTTTTGTCTCATTTTTATGACTCAAAGAAATTATTAAGAAAAGTGAGTAAAAAATTATTAACGGTCGACATCTTTTCTTTTGAGAATTACTGTCACGACCCAAAATTCCATTGGAACCGTGATGACGCCTAACACCGATTGCTAGGCAAGCCAATAGCAGATGTGATGGATTAAAATTCAACAACAATAAGAAAAAGTTTCAAACAACGGAATAACATAAATAACTGAAGTCATAATTATAATATATTTGAAACCACCCAAAATTTGGTGTCACCGAGTGCATGAGTTAAAGTACTAAATACAAAGTTTGAATAAAATACACTATTGTTATTGTCTGAAAGACTAAACAGTAATATCATAAGATAAAGGAGGAGACTTCAAGGCATGCGAACGTAACAACAATACTACCTCGAAATCTCCAAGAAAATCCGGATAAACAGCTCACTAGCAACCACCGCTATCAGTGATATTCGGCTTAAAGTATGCATATTCTTGTGTATAATGCCTGGCATTTTGCTCATTCTTCTTCTATTGTTCATTGAATTTATGTTTGAAAACATTATTTTTGATGATTTGATGAATATGAGTGGCTAAGAACTTTATTATGGGGTCATGGTTGCTACATGAGTGTTGACGTTTAAAGTTTAAATTTACGAGTGTTATTTTATCATATTGGGTTGTTTATTTAATTCCGTTCTTAATTATTTTGATACGTAGCTAACAGTGAAATTCTATCTACGAATCTAGAGTTGAACTCGAAAGTGGGAATTCTAGATTGCAGATAGGATTAAATAGAGGAAGTTCTTGAACCCAGGCGTCGGGGAACGAATTCGCAATTAGGATGTAAATATACCTAATTATCTTGCTTGGTTAAAATACAGGAAATATAAATGCATTCTTGTTAGTCATAATTCCATAGACATATAGGTATTAATTTAGCTTGAATAGGCGAGTAAGACTCGACAGATTCTTATGAGTAATGTCAACCCTATCAATCAACAAACCAGATAAATCAATTAGTCAGTTTTAGCCAAGAACGCAACAAGATTGTTAGCTTGTATATGACCCTGGAATATCCTCTCCTACTAATTTTATTAGAAATAGCCTAAGTGTTGTGGTTGATCTCTTGTAACTTCATTGCTTGATAGTTTTTTAGGTAGTAAATTAATCACTTACACATTTTGTGAAAAATATCTTGAATCGATAAGTTATTTAAGTTTGAATCAGTCAAAAGTTAATCATAAGTCTCCGTGGGAACGATACTCTACTCACTACTCTATTACTTGACGGCCACATATACTTACGTGAGTGTGTTTGGTCGCAACAAGCTTTTGGCGCCGTTGCCGAGGACTTAGAAATTAGCTACTTGTCTGAGTTAAGCTTTTATTAGTTATTTGTTCAAGTTTTAATTTTCAGTTTGCCTTGTTTGTGTTAACGTAGGCTCTTCTCTTGAATGCTGAGGAGTTGAAGCGCAAACAACCTCCTTCCTCTTGATCCTGAAATTGAACGAACACTTCATAGGCTGAGGAGGGAAGTATAATCTAGAACTAGAATAGAAAGAGAGTTGGACATCGTAGTTCAACCACAACCACTAGAGATGGCAGGTAATGAAGAGCGTCCGGTGATAGATGCCGCAAGGCCCAATCTTGCTAATATGACTCAGGCTATTGTTAAGCCTGATATTACTGGTCACTTTGAACTCAAACAGTGCGTGGTACAGCTTATTCAATCCACAGGGCAATATGTAGGTTTATCTCATGAAGACTCGCATCGGCAGATCCAGAATTTCCTGTAAATTACAGACACTTACAATTATTCGAACGTCTCCAAAGACTACGTCATGCTAACACTGTTCCCCTTTTTAGTGCTGGGGGAAGCTAAAGAATAGTTGCAAAAGGAGTCCGTGAATTCGATACACACTTGGGATGATCTAGCAAGAAAATACTTAATCAAGTTTTTTCCCACCAAGAAGACAAAGTCACTGAGGAGCCAGATTCTCGGGGTTCCAACAACGGGATGGCGAGACTCTTTATCAAGCATGGGAAAGATACAAGAAGCTACTCAGAGACTGCCCAATCACTGTCAGATTGATGAGGTGTTGGGTCACACTTTCGTTGATGGGTTAGACGAGACATCAAAGATGATTCTTGACTCAACTTGTCGGGGAAGTTGCATGGCAAGGCTGTATAGTGAAATCCAACTCCTGCTAAATAATTTCACCGCTAATAATAACAATTGGCAAGGAGATGGGGAATCACAAAGATCACTTGAACAGAAAGCAGCCGGTGTAATTGAGCTTGAAGGCTTCTTAGCCATGAGAGTAGATATAGAAAAGTTGGCCAATCAGATGAATATAATGACAATGCACCAAACACAACAGATGGAACATGTAAAAGATATGTCTACTTGCTGCAAATTATGTGGTGACAACCACATGAGTGACGTGCCCCACGAATCCTGAATCTATCTACTATGTGGGGCAACAGAGCAGAGGTCCGATAAATCAACATACGCAATATGGGAACACTTACAACCCAAATTGGAATAATCATCCTAACTTATCCTGGGTAGAAATCAGACGACTTAGATTCATTATAGGCCCCAAGGAAATTTTAATTAACCTCAGAAGCCACCCCAGCAATTAGAAGAGAGCACAAATGACTTGTTGAAGAAGTTGTTTCTTGATAATCAACAACTCAGGACCGATCTCAAAAATCTTGAGAGACAAATAGGGTAGCTAGAGTCGAATCAAAATACTAGGTCTGCAGGCGCTCTTCCCAGTGATACAGAGAAGAACCCTCAAGTTAATGCATTCACACTCAGAAACAATAGGGAATTCGAAGAAGCGCCAAAGAAGAGAAAGAATAAGCATGTACCTGAGGGTGAGATGATTCCTTAGGCAACACACGAGTCAAAGAAAGGTGATGCAAGTTCAGAGCCAGTGAATGCCGCAAGGCCATCGCCACTTTTACCCCAAAGATTGCAGAAGAATATGATGATCGCATGTTCAACAAATTTCTCTCTATGTTGAGCCAGGTTCAATTGAATATTCTATTGGTGGATGTAATTTGCGAAATTCAAAAGTATGTAAAGTATATCAAAGATATAGTGTCTCACAAGAAGAGATTGGCTGAATTTGGAACACTTGCACTTACTGAGGAGTGCACTTCGAGGGTCCAAAACAAGCTCCCTCAAAAGCTTAAGGACTCTGGAAGCTTCACCATCCCTGTGCGGATTGGTAATATTGATGTGGGCCATGTTCTTTGTGATTTGGGGGTGAGCATAAATCAGATGCCCTTGTCCGTGTTCAAACAATTGGGTCTGGGAGCTCCGAGACCAACCACTGTGATGTTGCAGCTAGCTGATAGGTCCATAGCCTATCCTGAAGGAGTGATTGAAGTTGTGTTGCTGCAAATAGGGAAATTCATCTTCCCAGCGAAATTCATTATCCTAGATTATGAGGATGATGAACAAGTTGCAATCATACTGGGACGACCTCTCTTGGCTATAAGTGATGCAATTATTAAAGTGAGAGAGGGAAAAATGATCATGATGGCAGACAACGAGGAAGTAGTTTTCAATGTTTACAAGGTGATCCAACTTCCCCGCCATTATGAGGAGCTCTCTATGATATCTGTGTTGGAGGTGGATGAGCAACTTATCAACACGAGTGTATATCTAGACGATTCTCTATAAAAAGCGCTCATGCTGTTTGATAGCTTGGAGATTGATGACGAGGTCGAGGAGTTGATGCATATACTAGATGCATCATGTGTCTACATGCATGGATTAAATCCTTTTGAGCCCCTAAATAGGCCAAGTGGGCCCTCTCCAAGCCGTCGATTGAAGAATTTCAAAAATTGGAACTTAAACCCTTGCCACCCCACCTTCAATATGCTTATTTGGGTGGTTCTGACACTCTACCTATTATTGTTTCCTCTGACTTGTCTAAATTGCAGGACGAAAAGCTGTTAAGAGTGTTGCGTGAGCACAAGCGAGCAATCTGGTAGACTATGTCTGACATTAGATGCATTAGTCCGTCCTTCTGCATGCATAAAATCCTCATGGAGGAAGGGCATAAGCCAAGTGTAGAGCAATAACGCCGCCTAAATCCAATCATGAAAGAGGTGGTAAGAAAAGAAGTGATTAAGTGGCTTTATGCAGGTATTGTATTTTCAATCTCTGATAGCAAATGGGTAAGCCCCATCCAATGTGTGCCTAAAAGGGGGGGGGGGGGGGGGGAGGGGATATTGTAATGGCTAATGAAAATAATGACTTGATTCCCACAAGAACCATGATTAGGTGGAGAATTTGCATAGATTATAGAAAATTAAATAATGCCTCCCGCAAGGATAACTTTTCGCTCCCCTTTATTCAGGATATAATCAGATTGCTATAGCCCCAGAGGACCAAGAGAAGACCACATTTACGTGTCCCTATGGCACGTATACGTTCAAGAAAATGCTATTTGGTCTCTGTAATGCACTGGCAATTTCTCAAAGCTGTATGATGTCTATTTTTACTGACATGGTTGAAAGATTTGTAGAAGTATTCACGGATGATTTTTCTGTGTTTGGGTGTTCTTTTGATAATTGTTTAATGAATCTTGATAAAGTGCTTGCTAGGTGTGAAGAGACAAACTTGGTGCTAAATTGGAAAAAGTGACATTTCATGGTACGAGAAGATATAGTCTTGGGGCACAAGGTGTCCAAAAATGGTCTGCAGGTGGACAAGGCAAAGGTGGAGGGGATTGAAAAATTTTCTCCACCAACATCCGTTAAGGGCATTCGTAGTTTCTTGGGCCATGCAGGTTTTTATCGTCGTTTCACTAAAGATTTTTGAAAAATTTCTTCTCCTCTGTGCAGGCTTCTTGAGAAAGATATCCCCTTCAAATTTGATGATGCTTGTCTGAAAGCATTAGAGGAGCTGAAGAAAAGATTGGTGACTACGCCAATTATCATTGCCCTGGGTTGGGTGCAACCCTTTTAGTTGATGTACAATGCGCGTGACTTCGTAATCGAAGCTGTTTTGCGGCAAATGAGGGATAAAATTTTTCACTTTGTTTCTTACGCGAGCAAAACTCTGAATCCAGCCCAGATTAACTACACTGTTACTGAAAAAGAGTTGCTTGCAGTGGTGTGGGTATTTGACAAGTTCAGATCCTATTTAGTGGGAACCAAAGTCATCGTCTACACAGATCAGTCAGCTATAAGGTATTTGTTTGAAAAGAAGAGATGCCAAGACAAGGCTAATTCTATGGGTCCTTCTCTTGCAGTAATTTGACTTAGAGATCCGAGATAAAAAAGGAACAGAGAATCACGTGGTTGATTACTTGTCCAGATTAGAAAATCGGAACCATGTAGCTGAGGGGGGGTTCGATCAAAGTAACCTTTCCGGATGAGCAGTTATTGGTCGTTTCCTCGAGTGTAGCCCCGTGGTATGCAGATTATGTGAATTTTATTGTAAGTGGAGTGATGCCACCAGAATTAACACCGGATAATAGAAGAAGATTTCTACATGATGTGAGGCTCTACATGTGGCATGAGCCATTCCTATACAAGCAGTGCGCATATCAGTTGGTATGAAGGTGTGTTCCTGAGGAGGAGATGAATGCAATATTGCATGACTGACATGCTTCTCCATATGGAGGTCATCACGGTGGGGATAGAACCGTCCAAAAAGTGCTGCAATCGGGTTTCTATTGGCAAAATTGTTTAAGGATGCACACGCCTTTGTTAAAAAATGTGACAGGTGCCAAAGAACTGGAACAATCACGAAGAAGCACGAGATGCCTTTGCAAAATATTCTAGCAGTGGAGATCTTTGATGTTTGGGGGATTGATTTCATGGGACCGTTCCCATACTCTAATGGGCACAGATACATCCTGTTGGCGGTCAACTATGTTTCTAAGTGGGTGGAGGCTATTGCTCTTCTTACTAATGACGCAAACGTAGTGGTAAACTTTGTAAAAAAGCATATCTTCACACACTTTGGACCATTTGCAAAGATGATATTGCCTGGCATATTGGAGATGGTTCCAATGTGGACTTTTAGCACGCAATTGGCTACCTTGTACAAAAAGCCTACATAGTATGATCTAAGGTCCTCTATCATACAAGGATACAAATCTCAAAATTTCGAACATTTTCTCTAACAACTCATGGGACCTGTCACAAATCTCTTTTGAGCTCCCATTCGATATTTTAATCGAAATTCACTCCTTCCAAACTGCAAATGACTACAATCGCACTAATACTCCGATATGGGCCCCCACCGTAGATGGAATCTTTAGCACTAAATCTGTGTACCCTCTTATAACCTCTAATAACACTCAAACCCAAAGTAAAAACTTTGCTTGGCTTTGGAAACTGAAAACTTGGAATAAGATTAAATATTTCCTATGGCAATGCTACCATGATT